CTATGTACATGCAACCCTGCTGTGCTGATCACTGCGATAACTCATGCATATGTTTCTATTCTCGGAGCGGTTAGTTTACCATTCCAGTTGTTGTTGTTTTTGTTGTAGGCTTTCATTTGTGTACATTTTCATTCTCACTTTCACTCATGTAAATTTTTTAAAATAACAGGAAAACACGTTGTTTTTTTTTTTTGTGTGGAAAACTTTTTGGTTGTTGTCTGCTAAAAATTTGTGAAAGCTCTTTTCTGAATGCAGTGTTTTTGAATTATTTTATTTTTGCCTATTTTATTGCAATTCAATAGCTCAGCATATTCACTTGGATATCACCAGTTCGTACTTTACTTTGATGCTGAATATGGCTTTTAAATGTACAAAAATTAAAATGGATTGTTATACTTTATTTTTTTTTCATATTTGGTAAACGAATGAATAAAACTTGAGCTAGGAAAAAGTGGAACTGGTACATTTAGGCTGCACTTCAAAAGCTCTATACCAATGGACAGCTACCCAACAGGTTTTAAGCGGAAACTCATGCAATAGAAATTGCATGTCCGAAAATTCCTTAGAGCAGCGATGCATAGGCGATAGAACAATAGAGCTATCCAGTTACATACTTATAAGAAAAATAATAAAAACCAGCTCGCAAAATAACTGATTATGAAATTGCAGTTCTTGAATGCAGTACGCTTTGATTTTTAAAATTTTCATTATCTCACTTTTTGAAGTTCTTATAGCCCCGTCAAAATGAGTACTATGCGTACGTGACGCTCAAATATACAACTGACAGTGGAGTAGACTATGCGTGTTTGCATAGAGAACGTGAGATTGGCAACCCTTGCGTCGACGGACTATCAACGAACGTTGGCCAACTCTCAACTTTTGTCGCAAGTAGGTGCGTCACTGCTGACAGTTGTATTACCTTGCGTTTATACAAGACAAGACAGTTGTCACATTGCTTGATTAAAGTAGGCGTCCAGACAATAAACTGTCTTCGAAAATTTGAAAACAGTGATGAAGACAATGAGAGAAGTGTGATCATATTCCTACCAGCAATTGGAAGACAATTTTATCGCCTATCGCCATGACGTCACTTCTTTGTCACTATTTCTGTCGCTTTTCTATCTTCTTAACAGGTGATCGGACGATTTTTACCCACCAAAGCATAACATAAAATATATGGGGCGTTTGAGCTGGTAATCTCCGCCGAAAACAGGCTGAAAATAATGTCATTCTGCGGCTGTGGTTGCAAGCTCAAAGGTATCCCAAATTTCTCATTACGGTTTATCAAAAATTTAACGAACCCAAGAATCGTCTCTAACACTTCCGACTTTATCGCACAAGTTACTAATAGTTCCTAATTGAAGTGCCGCTTTCGTATCATAAAGATGTCTTGGTGGAACAGCTCTTATTGAGAGTGGATACGATTTCAAATAAATAGCGATATCATCGGCGCTAATTGTCAAAGAAATGTCGTGTCGAACTAGTCGAACTTCCGCAATAGAAAATGCTGGCAGGGTATACATATAAGTAAAAACCCAAATCCAAATACGCGATCATAAAGTTAAGCTGATTTTTGATTGCAAACGCAACGCCTTCATTGTGGCGCCGTTCTAAGTTCCTTTATGTCACGTCAGTTTCATACTTGAGCGTCACGTACGCAAAGTACTCATTCTGACGGGGCTATTATTATAAGCGAGCACCAGCCCATCACGTTGAGGCGCACAACACATCATTTCGCATTCGCTTCAATTGCTTTTATAATTTTTTTGTTGACATTGTAAGTTGTACACAGCGTAGTGTTTTATTGTTGGGACTTTTAAGGAAATATTCTACGAATTTCACACAAAGCAGCTTCGATTTTTAATTTTAGTTTTTTTTCAGCGTTTTACCACTTCAACTCGAGTCCAAGTTTTCCGTGGGCACATTTTAAAAAACATCTGAATTGTGTCTAAAAGCCAGGCCAATATTAGGACTAAATAAATATGTAGTAGTGAAATCCCATATACAATTTGCCTGATGGTATATGATGGCAACAAATAGCGGAGCTACCACGGTATTCTATGGTCGGTAAACATTTTAAAATTTATGACAAGTTAATGAGTTTTGATACAGCTACATCTACATAACAAACAATTCATTCATTTGGGAACCAAATTATCTACATTTCTAAATCGAATTGAATGAATGTTATTTTGTGCTTACGGTCAGATTAACTTCATATTTAAAACACCTATTAAATAATAATAGATTGACGCTTCCTGATGTTGTCATATAAAGAGAATGGACCTACGCCGACTCCTAACGGCGATTGTATTTTTATGAGAAGCTCATCCTCGTGGCATAACATTGCAAAAAAAATGAAATATACAAAAAATTAATTTAAATTATGCTTAGAGTTATTAAATTATGTTTACAAGGATGATGTATTTTAGGGCGGGTGAATTTTTTTTTTTACTATGCGCGTATAGCACAGGAGCATTCTACTTGTAATTCTAAGCAAATTTTCCGACGAAGCCACGGTTCTAAAATCTATTTCAAGACTGCCAAATTTCGCAAATTTGTCCCATATCTACAAATTGGCCCGCCCTAATGTATATTTACATACATATCACTCCACCTAACCACATTAGTGAGGCAGATTTTCTATGGCTATATATCTTTTCGTATCTTGTTCGTAACATCTAAATAGTAGTCTTCCGTATATGAAAAACTTTGTAGGAAATTTAATAAATATTAGGAAATTTAATAAATATAGGAGACGTAAGAAAATTCAACTGCGTATCGATTGCGCAAAATGAGCTCTTAAATCCGTACTTTCTCCTTTATATGTAGCTTTTCTCTACTCACTGAACTCAGTGGAACGTGCTTTAAAAAAAAAAAAAAATTCATAAGAAAATTTACTTCTCAATTCTCATTTGCGCATTCTGACCTCTTAAAACAAATTATCCTGACTGTCTGAAACTGCCAGCCAGCTAGCCAGAAACCAAGCTAATCAACTAGAAATACTCCAATAAAATAGTAATCTGCAATACCCAGCACGTGGCTACTTGTTTATGTATGTGTGAGTTCGTGCGTACGTGCGTGCCAGCAGGATAACTGCGTCGTCATCCAAATTAGGAGCAAATATTTGTTTTGCATGTGATTAATTTTCGTTACGCACGAACGCCTACGCAGTCGCTGTTGCTGTCGCTGTCGCTGTCGTGTCATTTGTGCAGTGGTCCCAACGGCGCGCCGTATCTAAGGTAGCCGCATTCGGCATTAAAAATCGCTTGTAGACTTTGCCAAATTTCTCTGCCTGCAACTCCCCAGTTGGCCATGCAGACACAGACGGCGCGATGCGATGCGGCAAACGAACCGCCGCGGCCATTTATCAATGAATGATGATTGTCTGCCGTTGCTAGCCATTCATTCCGTTTCATCTCTTTCTGTTCGCTTGTCAGTCTTGTCTTCTTTTGCTATATTTGCTTGTTTGTTGGTTATTTATATTTGTTGCTGCAATTATTGTGCTATTGTTCCCAATTTGACTGGTGTGAAGTGAATCAGTGGGTCTCGGTCAGAGAGTAGTGTTGTTGTTGGAAGTGTGCGTTGCTTGTTCGCGTCTACTTTTGGAATTTCGCACGTCATCGACTTTAATTGCGCCATGAAAGTTTATTTTCTCCCACTCAACTCGCTGTTTTCTTGCCTATTCCAATTGCAGTGCTTTGCTTTATTGGCCTGACTTACTTGTTGGTGGGTTTTTGCTTTCTTTTTTTTTCTTAATTTCTATGGAAAACTTGACGAAGGTATTGTTATGAGAAGCCAACCGACGTGAGGGTTAGAAAAACCAACAACAACGACAGTCAAGGCAGAGTCAAGGTTATTTTGATCGGGTTCTCATTTGTTTTTTTTTTATTTTTTACTTGCAAACGGTTTAAGCCACAAACATGAACATGAGCGTTGTTACGTGCTGCTTTGTTTCCATGCGCGTCGCCGTAACAAGATGGATGTGTTTTGCAACATAGTATGTGTGTATGTGTGTACATACATATGTACTGCTACTATACTTGAGAATACTAGTATGAACGCGTGGAGGTGCGCTGTTGAGAGGCGCGTCGGTCGTCTCCTAAATTAAAATTAATGCTGAATTGGACCTTTTGTGTAAAGGCCAGACAATTCCCGCAGCGTTAATTCCAAAAAAAGTTTCAGTTTTCATTTCGGTATATTTTTGAAGAATATTTGGTGAATCAGCTGATTTTGCATATTTAGTTACCAAATACAGGTTCGCTCACTCCAGAGCAGGGTTATTTATTATCAGGTTACCTGCAATAAATTATGAAATATATTTAAAAAATAAATGAAACTACGCTTTCCATAATTCAACGCAAATATGTGCACAAGAGGAAAAATATCGAATCGTAAAAAAATTTTCAGTTTCTTACCTTACAGGAGCATCAGCTTGAATTTATGTGTCGCGATAAAGCTCACACTCCAACAAAATGGAGTTTCAAACTATATGGGATTAGATTTCTGCCTAGACATTTCTGATAAAGAAATAAGAAACCAAAATTCATCTTTAAACAATTTTTAGTGAAAATCATAAATTTTCCAGGTCTATTTTTTAAAAAGCCAATTTTTCGGGCAGTATTCTTAATGTCTCGACAATTTATAATTTTATTCAAAAAGAATATGAGCAAACGCAAGTGTAACTATAGAAGTCTTCAATCTGAGTTCGCACTTTGTTGGATCGGTTGACGGATTATTCAGATATTAGCGATTTCAACTTTCTAAAATCTATTTTCTGTTGTATCAAAAATCTCAAAAGCTATATAACAGAAATCTACAAAATTTATATTTTCGAAATATTTTTTTTATTGGTTTATTTAGTAGCAATCGGTTTAAATCCGTTGAATATTTCGGTCGTTAGAAATATAGATTTAACACTGTTTTCGATGCACTTAAAAATGTTCCACAATGATGCGATTCGATTCTTATACCCGCCTTTATATTTTATATTTTGCAGGTAAACAATAATGCTCCTTAGAAGTTGGACAAATGTGATTTCATAGTGTGTAAGTAGCCACTTTATTTAACGTGTTCAAACATATGTATTTGAGAACCTTTCAAGTTACTTATATGCCAGCTGGAATCGCATATTCATGCTCAAGCATCCAACGTTACATATTTCGATCAACAGCTTGGCGATTCGAAAAAAAGTTCACAATCCGATCACAAATCCAACACTCTTTTGAAATGCTTTTCATAGTCACATATGCGAAGAAAGATATATCGAGCCCTAACCGTCAAAATTACGTAAGCGACAATTTTTTCAAAAATTTCTTTTTGATGCAGAAATATTCCTACAGCATCTAGATGCCTTTCTGCATCGAAAAGGAAATAAAAAAAAATGTCGCTTAAGTTATTATGGCCGTTAGGCAAATAAAAAATAAATAAATTTGATTCTAAGAAGTACTTTCTTGCATTTCTAGCCATGCGAATTCCAGCCATGTTTTTTTAGCTTCGAAGACAATAGCACTTTTTGTGCTATTCGCTCGCACTCCGAATGCCAGCCATTGAGGACGAAGCGCGTTAAAAACGTCAAATTACAATGCAAACATACGAAAATGCATAGAGGAAACTAATTTCCGAAAAATTAACAGCTTCTGCAGCATTCAGTGCAAAACCCCACCAGGAAGTGGAGAATAACATGCGAACAAATGCAAATATAAGCAAAAACACTAGCAAAAAGAACAATACCCCACACTCGTGCAATGACAAGATAACCAAAAAGCCAACCGCATCAAACAACAGCAAAATCGCGGCTTTCGGAGGAAAGTTTAGCGCCTGACAAGCGATTATAAATTTGCGTGCGTTTATGAAAATAAAATTATTCTCTGGCTGGCTCGCTAGCACGTTTGTGTGGCTGCGCCTTTGTTTGCATTGCATTACATGTTGCCAGCCGCAGCCCTACACACACACACACACACGCATACAGTCACATCCAATGCTAAAGGAAACTACATTCGAGTGGTGGTTCGAGCACCAACCCGGAACAAACAAAGGCTGAATAGAGTGTCAGTGGCACTCGACAAATGTAGGCACACACACCAATGCATTTACTTAAGTACATATATATGTAAGTCTGTGTGTGTACAACTAAATACAAAGCAAACAATGGCGGCAACAAACAAATGGCCAATTGCATAAATAAAATTAAAACTTGCCGACATTTTCACTGTGTCGCACAATTTGCTTGCCGCCGCTTGCTTTGCTGGAGAAAATAGCTTTGCAAATTTTCACATTTGGTTGGCATCTGAGTTATTCCCGACGCCCCAAAACTATGCTACAAATGCCACTTAAAATGGTGTTGAAAGCAAACCAACACTTGCACAAGCAAACACACTTGCCAGTCTCAGAGAGCGCACTCGAAAAGTACACGAAAATGGCTGGCAATTGTCAGATAAATGCAAAAAGTGTGCATTTGTGTGGAAATTTGTGTGCGTAAGAAGGGCGAGCATTGGAAAAAATGTACGTTTTAGAAATCAAATATATATATGTACATCTATATGGAGGTGGCATTAGTTTTTAAAAAGGCAAAAAAGCTTAAATATACAGGCAATTACTTTTACTTTCTCAATATGCTATCCTATCATATCCTCCCCACCCTTTTCTATCTTATTTGAGCAAACATTTAAGTATCTTAAATTTTCGCTTGCAACTCAAAAGTCCATTTCCTTCTTCACCAAAATAATGAATCGCCATGTCATTTATTTGTTCTCAAAATGCTTTTGTTTATAAAACGCATTCATTATGTCCGCTCATTCGCATTTGACACCCAAATGTATGTACGCAGTAAATTTTGTTCGCCAAACAATAGCGCTAAGTTTTTCCCCAATTTTGCTTTTGTGTTCGCTGCGACACGCAGACACAGAAAGCGAACACACTTCCACTTCTAAAGCAATGCTGCAAGATCGTCGCGGCTGGTGTCCCTTCCTCAGTGTAGTGTTGGCAGTGTTGGCGCTCGTGTTTTCTTTTGTTTGCTTTGCTGATTTGCATGCAAAGTCTGAATTATGTTAGAAATTTGCGGTGCAGCGACACTCTTTCGCCATAACTTTGCGCGAACAAATGCAAACGCAGCAGGAATTGCAAATTATTTGATATGCTTGAAAGCTCCAAAGCCGCTTTATGCGGCATCAGCGTTAAGGCAGCTACTACTTATGCACACATGTGGGCGTCTTTCATGCAAAATTTTCTTTATTGTTATAACTTCTTGATGTTGTTTGCGAATGACAAAGTTATGTGCGAGAGCATAGCGGTGCATTGTGCCATTAATTCGTTGCTGTGCATTAGCTGCACAGCGTTTTGTCGACTTCTAGGCGCTGCAGCCATTTTCAATAGGAAAATATTTATGTGTTTTTCTTTGCATATTTCAAGCATTAAAACACAAACTCGGTGTTGAAAATTGGAAGAATAAAAATAATTTCTTATTGTTAAAGAGGCTAAAACCACAACGCGTAGCAAACTTGTTTCGATTAGACTGGCAGAAAGCCTAGTTTATTTGTTTCTTAACGGATATACATATGTATGTAAATTTTTAGTATTAACTTATATGACCACACGCAATGTCTTAAAGAAAATCTATTCCGTAGCAGTGAGAAATTGCGAAAAGTCAACTTGGTTATGAAGTGAGCACCCCGTAGAAAATAACAAAGTTCCTGGAGTCAAATCTGGTAGAAAATAGCTGGTATTAGGGTGCTCAAAAATTTAAGTCTCCTCTTACTTTGCGTAACCGATACGAAGGAAGACGCTTTTGTTGGCGCGAAATATTTGTTTTTCTACTCGACGGTATTCTGTGAAAGGCTGTACCCTTCACGAATTAACCGATTGGACCTTATCAGGGAAGAGCCTAGATATCCTTTTCGTTGTTTCAATAGCCACCTTCGGCAGTAAGACTAAGTGCCATATTCAAATTTGAGAATCTCGCAAAACTGATACCCGGAATAGTGACGTTGAGTGTAGCTAGTAGGACCCGTCCAAATGAGGAAGAACTTCTTCGCGCCGTTCAAGACTAAACGTTGTTTTGGACAAGGAGACTCACTCTCGTACAACTTCTTCGATCTGATATGATGTTGCGATTCTGTCGTATGTAGACCATATTGCCATCGTCAGCTTAAACACCAGGATCGTGATCGCAACTTTCTCCGGCTTGGATAACGAGGTAAAATAGATGAGTCCAGCGACGAACCAGAACAAGAAAAAGTATGTCCTGCATGTCTTTGACACCTAAATCACTAAAACCTACATATAGGGGATTCCGCATAAGAACGCAAAATATTCAGCTCATTAACAATAATCTTAGTTTTTTATTGATTTGAAAACCCTATTCATAAATATTTTAAAATTATTACATTTTTTACTTATATCACTTTTGCATTCAAATCTTCTAAAACTTGGTCGCGTCTGGGACTTTAGTGCATACATCTCGAATCTTGTCAAATACACAAGTACCGAAAGACTTTCATATTCACTTGAAATGTGGTCAGAGGAAAAAGGAACGGCCAAGTATGTAGCGTAAGTATATAGAGTTGAAGACGATGAGTAAAACAAAAGCAATTACTGAAATGTATACCTTTAGAATATATACTTACGTATATAGAGACTACATATGTATGCACATATGTACTTACAAGTATAATGAAGATAAATTTTATAGCTCACAGCATACATACATACACAAAAATACACACATACGGTACATACATACAACGTTATTCATACAACTCATTAAAAGCATTTAATTCCCAACACGCTGAACATCATTCAGCCATCGACTCCCCATGGGATCGGACAACCTCAATCATGGCAAACACTTTACACTAACATATACCATTTTTAGTCTTCTCGTTTTGTTGTAGAATTTTTTATTAATAGAATTTCCTCCACAAAAGTGATAATTAAAACGCACAAAGCTGAAAGGAAATTTTCATTTAAATGACCACAAGGTATTATGATAGCATGCAAATGATAATGTGTGCGTTATAGTTACATATGTAAGTGTGTGTGTGTGCTTCCAAAATGTATTTACATACACTGGTGGTAGAAATAATAGAAGCTATAAAACTGCGTACCTAAAATTTGTTTTAAAAATTCTGAAAAAAAAGTTTGAAATTTAGGTGAAATTTTTTTCAATTTTTCTAATTTTTATACCCGAGCGCACTTGTGCACAAGGGTATATTAATTTTGTTCACATAACGGTTGTTTGTAACAGCCAAAACGAATCGAGATAGATATAGACAAATGTATACATAAATGATCAGGATGAAAAAAGAAATCGATTAAGCCATGTCTGTCTGTCCGTCCGTCTGTCCGTCTGTCCGTCTGTCCGTCTGTCCGTGTACACGATAACTCGAGCAAAAATTGAGATATCTCAACGAAATTTGGTATGTGGGTTTCCCTTAATCCAAGGTAGGTTGGTATTGAAAATGGGCGAAATCGGACTTTAACCACGCCCACTTCCCATATAACGGTAATTTTCAAAAATACGGAAACTGCAATATTTTAGTAACTACTGGAGATTATTCACTCAAAATTGATATTTATAATAAGTTTTAGACGAAAAATAAGAATATTATAAATTTTTGGAAAATGGGCGTAGGCCACGCCCACTTATGGTTACATGTGTATATCTTGGTAACCGCTGCACCAATTTCTTCCAAACTTGGCACAGTTGTTGGCCTTGGTACAGCATAAAAAACCACCGAAACTTTTTAAAATCGGACAATAACCACGCCCACATCCCATATAACGGTAATTTAGAGAAATACAAAATCTTCGATAAATCATTAAATATTGAAGCTAATTTATTCAAAATTGATGCTTGCAACAATTCTTTACCAAGAAATACGTTTATGGTAAAATTTTGGAAAATGGGCGTGGCACCGCCCACTTATGATCACATATAAGTATACCGGTAACCGTTCTACCAATTTGTACCAAACTCGGTATGGTTATTGTACTTGCCACGTGTAAGCAAAACGTTGAAAATTATTGAAATCGGACTAAAATAACGGCC